GAGGGTTTTAAAGCTCAGTACTGCTTGGCTACTTCAATTAAGTATTCATTAATTAGCCATTTCAGGACGTTACTAAACAAGTTTGTTTTGATGAAAATCTTAGTTGATGATTATTGATTCATCGCAAATAGTAAATACCACATGAATAAATCTATCATGTCATTGGTTTTAGCGTATGTTTCAATGAAAATTGTAACGGAAACTATTACTACGGTTCACACTAAGTAAATAATTAATGTGAAATATGTTTTTCAACAAAATTAATAGCAAAAAACACCAACATCATGTTGATGTACACAGGAAAAAATAAGAATAACACTCTTTAATCTACCAACTAATGAGGTGACAGACTTTAATTCAATTTATCTTAATACAAGTAACTTGCCTATTTGAAAAATAATGAATATATTAATATTCCAATTTACAACTCAATAACTGTGAAAGATAAGTGTGAATGTTTAAATTACACAAACACAGATTTACTACACGACAGCTAAAAAAATCTGATTTGAAGTAAAATGAAATGACAGTAATGACCATCAATTAATAGTTCACAATAATAAGGATATAAGCGAACCCGATGATAACACTTAAAACAAAATTATAAGGAAGTAGATGTAAGAAACTGGTCGCAGAAGACTACAGAAGCAGAATGACATTAGATTACTTACGTGGGATAGCATGAAATTTGAATTTACATATCTAGACATGCTAAACTATGTGATAAAAATTTTAAAATGCATATAACATTTGGATCTATATTAAGTTGATAACGTCCTTTCCAGATGCTTCCTTCTAAATGATTATACTTAGTAAATACATTGATAGGATTATTTTAATGTATTACCAATACAAACTTTTAACCTAAAGAGTTATCAACGTGAAGGGTTGAGGTTTGAATTTCAAATGTGACTAAGGCTTGCAGTCTTCTTATTCGATGAACTAGATGTTGACTTCCCACACTTGGAATATCATGGTATTAAAAACAATGGAAAAGTTCTTTCTCTAATAAATGAAATTAAAAAAAAGATTTACTAGGCTCAATGGCAATGTTTAATTAAACCCCAATAACAAAGCAGTTTTGATCATTGTAGTATCGATAGATTAGTTTTTTAAAAGAGAAATAATTTATCATATTCAATTTCCAAGCAAAAGATTGTAAAAATAATTCTTATTAAAATAACTAAAGGAACTTCAGCAAGAAAAACCTTTCCAATGATGATACTAGTAATTTAAAAAATGAAGTAGTCTTTCAAGAGAAAAAAAACATGTAAAGAATAATGTATAATATCCTATCCTATTTACTAGCAATCTACATCCAAATATGATTGGAATAACACAGTATAGATTTGATTGTTAAAACGCTACATATTTCTTTGATGATTCTGATTATTACCCCGATGAAGTTCAAACAAGTTAGCTGGACAAAACGTTGGAATTATTTCAAATATAATTTCCATATATAATGAGTTCTTTATACTCGGCGCCCAATTTCTATCAAACTATTCGTTCTAATCTTGATGAATATTCGTATATATATAATTTAAAGATTCAAAATAAGGTTGCGTAAATGATCGAAAAGTCAAAGAATAATAATAAGATAAGACGAAATATGTGAAGAAGAAGAATAATTGTCTACTTAACGAGTATGAACAAAATGAAGAACAAATTCTTAAAACAAAACAAAACATGAAAGTGATAATAACAAGTAATTAAAAACATTAAAAGAAAGTATTAATAATTAATGTACTGTGTATAAAATATTAGGTGTCAGAGATATAATATCATGACAACATTACACTTGATACTTTTGTATGTATAACTCTAATATGAACTGTTGAATTACTATCACCTCTGAAACAAAATTATTTTTTAAAGATATTATTATAATGTAGTTGAATTTGTTATTTAATATAACTAGTTTGTGAAACTGTTTAAACATTTCTACTTGTCAAACGTAAATTTGATTATGGTTTTGACTGAAATAATTTATAACCTGACTTATATAAATACTTCAGGAGACACTCCTGGAGTTCTAGTGAGAAGTCGTTACCAGTGGAGTTCAACCAGGTCTGTTGTGAGATATCAACTCACTGAAGACAATGGTGTACGGTGGCGCAACTTCGTGGATTGGTTGAAGTTAGACATTAACACCGTTGGATGCCGACTCAGTGGTCTAATTATGAGGTGGTCGCGCGCGACACTGATAGGTCCTGGGTTCGAATGTCTCGAGAGGCGGGATGGTGGATGCGCACTGCTGAGCAGTCCCATACTAGGACGAAACGGCCGACCAGTGCTTCCAGGTTTTCAATGGTGGTCTAGCTTCAATTGGCTCATGATTTCAACTTGTGAAATTTCTAAAAATCTCCACAAAACCCATTCTGATTATAATTATTTGTTAATTAGTAATGATAATAATAATAATAATAATAATAATAATAATAATAAACACATTAGATATACCTAATAAGTTTCACCTGTTCACCTAATTAATATTAAAGAAAACTTAGTCATTTGACTCATTATCATGGATGTCAACAATCTACAGAATCAAGGTTCATTAAGTTTTTTTGGAATAGCACAAAGTACAATGTTTTTGGTAATACATATAATAAAGAATACTGAGTACGACTTTCTAACTTTAAAAAAAGATGCATTTAAAAAAAATCTCTCTAAATACATTATCTCTTAGCTATTTGAAATAGACGTATGATATAGCATAACTAAGGTAATCAAAATAACAAATTGTTATCAAACTCGAAAAATTACATTATCTATTGAATGTGGACTTCTCATTCGACGTTTAGAAAACAACGTTTTTGATTTATTGTAGAAGCAAACAGACAAACAACCTTAAAAACCGTATTTCTCCTTCCAATGCTCGCTCTTTCAAGTGATAACGGTCGATTAATTAGTTTAACATTAAGCTGTTATATCTTATTTTAAAATCACAGATAAGATGAAAGTTGAGTAGACAAGACAATACATATATACGCATGAATCTGCCTAAAATGGTAGAAGGGAGTTTCAGTTCAGGTGAATGCCTTTGATCTTGCTGTGTTTTATTAACTCGGTGATTTAATTTGAGCCTTAATCGCCATTTTGGACAGAATCTTCAGCGCTTATATATAGGCATGGTTATGTTTGTTTTTTTATGAGCCATTTAAGACTATTTTTTCATATAGTTCACAAAAATATTGGTTAAAAGGTAGTTACAAAATGTAATAAGATACTCTGTCATTTGTTCACCAACTTCAATACATAAATACACCGGTTGTATCTTTCATTTAGATGTGAATACACACACACAACTGAAAACTAAGACATACTCATTGCCTAGCTTAAAGAAAACAATTATTGGTGAATGACTGAAATCAATTAAGTTATGATTGAAAAGAATACAACTACTATTTTGACATAATGTAACTTGAATACTCTTATTTTGATGACAAGTTACTATTTACCCTGGTAAGACTATATAATATCGAGAGATTAATGAACAGGGAAAACAGCTCATTTACCAGGTACATATTCATGTATTTGATTTCAAGCAGACTTTAAATGTAAGATCAAGTGATGCTAAGCAACTTCTCAGACTGAAGTAATTGATAGTTTGAACCTATGAATTAATCCCTGAACCAACCTCACTAATGAACAATGAAATAATATAGAACTGCAAGATTATCATGTATCGGTTCAAAGTGTCATTTGCAACTGAGTCACAACAAGAAAATTCGAAAATAGGCACACAGGAATAATGTTTCGAATGATTTAAAGAATTACTTACTTACTTACTTACGCCTGTTACTCCCAATGGAGCATAGCCAGCTGACCAGCATTCTCCAACCCACTCTGTCCTGGGCCTTCTTTTCTAGTTCCATCCAATTCTTGTTCATTTTTCTCATGTCTATCTCCAATTCTCGGCGTAATGTGTTCTTTGGTCTTCCTCTTCTCCTTTGGCCTTGAGGATTCCATGTGAGGGCTTGTCTTGTGACGCAGTTGGGTGCTTTCCTCAATGTGTGTCCTATCCACTTCCAGCGCTTCTTCCTGATTTCTTCCTCCACTGGGATCTGGTTTGTTCTCTCCCACAGTACGTTGTTGCTAATAGTGTCCGGCCAATGGATCTGAAGTATTTTGCGTAAACAACTGTTAATAAACACCTGTATTTTCTGGATGATGGCTTTTGTAGTTCTCCAGGTTTCTGCCCCATACAGTAGAACTGTCTTGACATTTGTATTGAAAATCCTGACCTTGATGTTGGTTGACAGTTGCTTTGAGTTCCAGATGTTCCTCAGTTGTAAATATGCTGCTCTTGCTTTGCCGACCCGCGCCTTCACATCTGCATCAGATCCACCCTGTTCATCAATGATGCTGCCCAAATATGTAAAGGTTTTAACATCTTCCAAATCTTCTCCGTCAATTGTGATTGGATTGGTGCATGCTGTCTTGTATCGGAGAATCCTGCTTTTCCCTTTGTGTATGTTGAGACCTACTGCTGCTGAGGCTGCTGCCACACTGTTTGTCTTCTCCTGCATCTGTTGTTGCGTTTGGGATAGAAGGGCCAGATCGTCTGCGAAGTCTAGATCATCCAACTGCATCTTAGATGTCCATTGTATCCCGCGCTTCCCTTCAGACGTTGACGTCTTCATGATCCAGTCGATCACCAGGAGAAAGAGAAAGGGTGAGAGTAAGCAACCTTGCCTAACACCGGTCTTCACTTCGAATGACTTTGTCAACTGTCCTCCATGAACAATTTTGCAGTGTAATCCATCATATGAGTTCTGTATGATATTGACTATTTTCTGAGGCACGCCGTAGTGTCGAAGAAGTTTCCATAGTGTTGTTCTGTCCACGCTGTCAAATGCCTTTTCGTAGTCAATGAAGTTGATGTAGAGTGATGAATTCCATTCAATTGATTGTTCCACAATTATCCGTAGAGTTGCGATTTGGTCTGTACACGATCTATCCTTACGGAATCCTGCCTGTTGGTCTCGAAGCTGGGCGTCTACGCAGTCCTTCATTCTGTTTAACAATACCCTGTTGAAGACTTTTCCCGGTATTGAGAGAAGAGTGATGCCCCTGTAGTTATCACAGTTGCTGAGATCGCCTTTCTTCGGTATTTTGATTAGAAGTCCTTCTTTCCAGTCTGTTGGTACTTGTTCCTCATCCTAAATCTTATTGAAGAGAATGTGGAGTATCCTTGCAGTTGCCGCTACGTCTGCTTTTAGTGCCTCTGCTGGGATGTTGTCCGGTCCTGCTGCTTTGCCCCTCTTGATTTGTCTGATGGCCATGCTGATTTCTTCAATTGTTGGTGGGCCAACATTGATTGGGAGGTCCGTGGGTGCTGCTTCGATGTTGGGTGGGTTCAGTGGAGCTGGTCGATTCAACAGTTCTTTGAAGTGTTCTACCCACCTGTTTTGTTGCTCTTCAATGTTGGTGATTACCTTGCCTTCTTTGCTTTTCACTGGTCGTTCTGGTTTGTGGCGATTTCCAGAGAGTTTCTTTGTCGTGTCATACAATTGTCTCATGTTTCCTTCTCTTGCAGCCTTTTCCGCCGTCGTTGCTAAATCTTCCACATATTTACGTTTGTCGGTTCTGATGCTCCTCTTCACTTGTTTGATTATTTCCGTGTATTCAGCTTGTGCCTTGGCTTTTTCTGCTCTTGTTCGACAGGTATTGATCGCTGCCTTCTTGTTCCTCCTTTCTTGAATCTTATCCAGTGTACCAACAGTGATCCATTCCTTGTGATTGTGCTTCTTGTGACCCAGGACCTCATGACATGTTGAAGTGATTGCCTCTTTGATCCCCTTCCAGTTGCACTCCACAGTAGTTCCTTCTCCATTGAGTAGATCATGAAAGGCCTGGAACTTGTTGCTGAGGACTATCTTGAATTTGTTGAGTTTGTTAGTATCCTGGAGAAAGGCCGTATTGAACTTTTGTGATACTGTCTGCCCCGTTGTCCAGTGCTTCTTGAGTTTCAATTTCATCTTGGCGACCAGTAAGTGATGATCTGATGCTATATCAGCTCCTCTCTTGGTTCTCACGTCCTCTATAGTCCTCCTGAACGTTTTGTTGATGCAAATATGGTCGAGTTGGTTTTGTGTAGAGTGATCCGGTGAAGTCCATGTGGTTTTGTGTATGCGTTTATGTGGGAATACGGTGCCGCCTATGACCAGCTTATTGAAGGCACATAGATTTGCAAATCTCTCACCATTTTCGTTTCTTTCTCCTAGTCCGTGTCGTCCCATGATGTCTTCATATCCAGTGTTGTCCGTTCCAACCTTGGCGTTGAAATCTCCCATCAGAATGGTCAGGTCCTTTGTTGGGCACTTCTCGACGATTGACTGCAGCCTATTGTAGAATTGATCTTTAGCGTCTTCATTATAGTCGTTGGTAGGCGCATAGCATTGGATGATGTTCATTGAAATGCCCTCTTTCTTTGTTTTGAAGGAGGCTTTGATGATCCTTGGTCCATGAGATTCCCATCCTATAAGCGCATTTTGCACTTGTTTGGACAGCATCAATGCAACTCCTTGTGTATGTGGTGCATTTTCTTCTTCATGGCCGGAGTATAACAGGAGCTCTCCTGTAGTTAGTCGTTGTTGTCCAACTTGTGTCCAATGTGTTTCACTGATCCCAAGTACCTCTAGGTTGTATCTTCTCATTTCTGCAGCAATCTGGAAGGCTCTTCCGGTGTCCCACATTGTACGAACATTCCATGTACCTAAATAAATGGTTGCTCTGGTTGTCAGAAGGGGCATCGGCCTCGTAACTTCCGAAGGAATTCGGCTTTCATCATGAGGCGTCATAATTCTTCTAAATGAAGACCTTCTGTCTCCCAGGGCAGAGTTTAAAAGGTTTGAATAATTTTTTCTGGTTAGCGTTATTTTAGCGAGTTAGTTTTCTACGGGATGGGGACGCTAACCCCATGCCCAACCCTCCTCCTTTATCCGGGCTTGGGACCGGCAGTAGCCCCCGGAGGGACTCCAGGCGGAATATACAAATATAATAGTATGCTCAAACTATAAACCGTATTAAAATGATTTGATGAATTGATCGAAGGTAGACATGTACACCATTGGATACAGGCTCAGTGGTCTAGAGGTTAAGTGTTCACGCGCGTAACCGAAGGTCTTAGATTTAATCTCCTGAAGTGCGGTCATAGATGGGCTCTTTGTAAGACTTACATACTAAGACGAAACGGTTGTCCAGTGTTTCCATGTTTTTAATAAGTTGTCTAAATTATGTATTGGTTTATGTTCTTAATGAAATGATTTCTACCTTAGTAATGAATCCTCAACTGTTATTTTCATTATTATTTATCCAGACATGAACAACTGGAACAAAAGATTAAAATACACAGACCTGATTTAGTTTGGCAAAGAAAAAGGATAGCTTGAATAACATTAACACTGATAATATGGTTCCTGGTCTTTTTTAACAACATGAGGTGACTTAAAATATCTCCTTAAACTTAAAATGATGAGGAAAATGAAAATTTTAAGATAAAACCAACCAACATTTAATAGGCGTATAGAGAGATCAACCAACTGGGAAACAAGTACTACAATGATAGTAAAGACGAGAGGGTCAACTTAATGGTTATTATTGAACTATTTGCTACTAAGATCCAAATTACACTACATTTTATTTATCTATTTTCAAAACATTATATCTGACATTTCAAGTCTCAGCTTTTATGACTACAAATTACATAACGATATTGATACAGTGGATCGCATGATACAACAGATATACGAACTGTAAATTCAGTATAACTATAGTTATTTGATTATGAAGCTTCCCGGATAATGCATTGGATTGCTGTAATACATGTCATAAATGTACTATCTAAACAATTATTGAACTAGTAAACTTAGAACAATCTTATATCACATGTTTGTTCTAATATTACTATTTATATCAAATTGATCATGCCTGTAGACAGGCGTAAATTCTGTAATCATTATTTTCAGAATATATTATTATTTTCTTTTCAACTAATAGTTTGTCAGCTCGAATCCTACCTTATGAGTTTAAGTTTGGGTAATCAAGTAATACTACAATATCAAAAAATTGAATCTCGAAGTCAAGTAAATAAACCTAAACTTGGTTAGTGTATTGGATCCGTTTAATTGTTAATGTTTAGCTAAATGGCATTAATATAAAAGAGAATACTATTGAAGAATGAGAAACTTGATGTTTTTCGTTGCTTAATACAACTAAAAACTATTAAGAAATACTTGTAAAACAAAAGTGATCTACATTTGTTTACGGTACATTTCGATCCGGAAAGCTACATGACAAGAAATAAATGTAATTCATCGGCAAAATATGGGTTATTGTATCAGGGACTAGGTGTTAAATTTTTGTCAATAATAATACCTGATTTTAAAACTTAAACAGATGATAAAATCAGTAAATTATTGAGTTTACTCACATTAGACTAGCTGGTTTAAAAGTTTAAAATATACTTTCAAAAGGGCAAGATAACCGACAGTATTATTAATTATTATTTCTAAAAACTGAATGAGGCTGCCAAAATATAATATCTATGACAAAAAAGGTGAGTTTCATATTTTATGGAATGATAAAATTTAGTGGAATTTCAAGATATCCCGCCTTATTGTGGACATGTTGAGGTGCAGTGAAGTATTTACTCCTCTATATAATAACTATCCAATTCTTTTTTGAGTTATATCTCATATTTTTGTTAACATTTGATGCGATATCATGGTTCATTGAAATTGACTTTTAATACTGTTTGTTTCTGTGTTTAATAGTTTGTAGAAAAAAAAGTAATTTTACGGATGAGGAAAAAATCATTAAGTAGTTTTCACCGAGAATCTGGTCTCGTGAGCAGCTACTACTCAGCCGTATTGTATTATTGTGCGTTAACTGTTGATCAGCAATATATTTATTTATTTTAACAGTTCAATGTTTTACCAAAGGCTTTGAATTTCCAATCTGGAAGAGATCAGCTGGATAGTAAAAATAAGCTTTTATGTAAAATAATCCACGTACAGCTTAGCTCACATAAATCCTCATCTTATTCTTTGCTAAACTATCAGCCTTTTGTAAACCAGTTGACAGTGCATCTTTAAGATACAACTTATTGTAGCCGTGAAAAAAAACAAATGAAGTCAGAATGTTTCAATCAATTAAAATATTACATATAACATATACTTACCGACAATGATGGGCACGAATAGGTTTAATAGTAAGGCACTTTGTGCAACGTATAGGAGGGGCAGATAAATAAGAAGAATACTGTTGTAAACATTTTGCAAATGCTTGATTTGCTGCACCGATTGGGATGCTACCCTTATAAACGATTTAAAATGGAAAGGAGAAAAAGATTAAATAAATGACTAAAAATATTTCTGATAGTAATATCTCAGACTGTAGAGCTAAGTGATGCGAATTCGAATCCCAGAGAGAGAAGTTTCCTCATGACTCCGACTACGCTTTGCTGACAAGTGGGAATCAGAATGGGAATTAGACCCATAGATTCCTACCGAGTACGTTCAATCGACAAACATTAAAGCATACTGCATACGATGTTGAGTGACTTGGACTGGTGGTCATATAGGAACCCAATCTATAGAGTTCGACCACCACTAAGGACTCAAAAAACATGGCATTGGTACCCAACCAGAATAATTACAGATAAGTGGTCACGGTCCGCGTCGAATCACGGGTAGCTGTATACAGTACAAGGTTTATACATTTTGTAAATGGTATTCATTATCTTCAGATAACAGGGTATTTTATCACTAAGCAACCCAAGTAATTGGTGGCTTTCAATGTTGTGAAGCGTTTCCAGAGAATATAATTATTAATATTGATAGCAAACCTAAAGAGGACATATATATCATAGTAATCAGAAGGTAGTTACGTTCATTTCAATAAAATATGGCAACACTAGTCATGGTACAGTTGACCTACAACTGATTCTTCATTACACTCTGCATGGAATCACTGTGTTTAAATGGCTTGACATAAAAGACTGCATATCTGGTAGTGGTGAAGTGAATTTATCTTATTTGTTCGGTAAATAACAGAAACAACGCTTACTGTCACTAAAACGTGAAATGTATGGTCACCGAAGACACTTTACTATATTGAAAACCGGCCAGTTAATAATTACATATCATATAGGTTTACATATATATATGGAAATGATTCATTACACTACATTATTTTATGTAGTTGGAAAAGAATCAAAGTTTGAAGGCACTTTAACTAATTTGTCTCAAAGATCAAATCCACTGCTGACAAGCTCATACTAAACATCCAACTAGCCAGATTTTGGTTAACTTCGTAGATTGCACGAAGGGAAGAACAACTATTATTAGGGTTTTTACTTCTTCAGTGTATAATGGTTATAACTACAAGTTAACAGAAGACAGAAAACATTTTTGCACTATTTATGGAATATGCATTCACTTAATTGAAAACTTAGATTTCCATAAACGAACTTTGACACGTTACATTGTTGTATAACTCTTCTAACAAATACAACTCGGTTAGGATTCTATAGAGATTGTACCTTTTAATGGTACCGAAGTACAATGTAGTCCATTTACGGTTTCACAAAAGTTTGGTGTCAAATCATTCGACCACCTCTTCATGTATCACTTGATATGCAGCTGATTTCAATCTTTTAATTGACTGCTAAATAAGTAGTAAAAATATTATTTGTTCTACTAAGCTTTAGTTACTTCATCCTTATTGCCAGGAATGTTATTGATATTTGTATAAGAATGTTTCTATTTTAGGTATTAAAATTAAGCACAATGTTGCGTTAAGTTGATTTATCAAAAGTGAGGGAAAATCGGCAAACATAAAATGGGAAAATGATCATCGGTCGATCATACGTACGAGGTAACAGGAATGGATATCATTTCAAATTGTTACACCACACACGAATAAAGCAAGAGAAGAAATTAACAGAATGATCACTAGCTATAATAAATTGGAAGTCGGATCCAACAAAACAACAAATATCAACTTCGGAGCATGTTAATAAACATATCCAATCATAGCGTTTGTATATCTCTTCAATCGCAATCAGTAAATTAATAATAACGTAAATTTGAGTTACAAGACAATAACAATACAAAATCAGCTGGTTATACTGACACTTTCTTAATCTAGTTTCTTATTTTGACATGCGCTAAAATGTCACCAGATGTTAAAATCTCAACCGACTGTTTTATTTAATCATTTCAGTACTTAACAGGATTCACTCGGACTTGTAATCAAATATCCATTGTCACTTCATATCACAGACCTATAACGCTAATGATTTTTTGTAGAAGTACAGTTCAGGAGAGAATATTACTAGGCTAGACACAAATGGTAAAGCTCAGATGAATATCTGAACCATACAATTAGAGGTTAGAACACCAGGACGAGAACTAATCCTTATAAAAATAAATGCAGTATATAAGGTTGACCATTCAAATTCCTACTCTTAAGCACCAAGTGAACCAGCATGCACTCATACCGGCAAAAATTGAGTCTGTATCAACCAATTGCTTAATAATGCTGATATTAAAGAACATTATATTCCCAGACTATGCAACAATTAGCTTATTGGTAGTTTTCAACAAAAAAAACGATTACAGTACACTGTAGACAATAAAATAGTGGTTAATAACTTACTGGGTCTGTGCTGAATGCTTTGAAATGAGAAACTACTGCCAGGATGGCAAACAAATGATAAATCGTTCCACTAGTCCAGTAAAAGGCATGTGATGGAGAGTGACTTAGTATTATGAAGTCTATTACAAACTCTGCATACAGAATAAGTAGCCAAGTGATAAAAATACAAGTAATCCCACAACAATCGTTAACAAACCAGATAACACCTAATGTTCGTTTAAGAGGCCGCGAATTTACAGA